CTGTTGATTGGCTCACTACCTCTGCTGGAAGGTTATTCCAAGCATCAACTACTCTTTCAGTAAAAAGTATTTTCTGAGATTAGTTTTGAACTTTCCTCCAAGTAGTTTTAGGTCATGTCCCCGTGTTCTTGATTTTGGTTTGAAAATCCTGCCCTCCTGAACCTTATTCACCCCTTGATGTATTTAAAGGTTTCAATCATGTCTTCCCTTTCCCTTCTATAGAAATAATAATAAACACTGATTTGGGTTATTTTCACCACGGAAATGTAGCAGAATAAATTTCGGTCTAAATTTATGAAAAAAGATTATTTGCAAAATTTTTATAATTGAAGCAAAGAAAAACATGTTTTGTTTTAAACATTTTAGCAATAAATAAGGGCGATGATTAAATACCACCAAAAGAAAGCTCTATTTGTGTGAAAAAAAAGAGATAAAATTTTCATATGGGTACAGTGTTGCATGACTGAACAATTGTCATTCCAAGTGCAACAGCGCTGAAACTTGGCCTGAGCAGGAAGGGGGTGAACGTGCCCAGTACTGAAGTGGTTAAAAAGAACCAGGCAAAAAAAGACAACTGTACTAGAATCTGAATCTCCAACTGCTTTGGTCCGTTTGAATTTCTTTCGCAAAACTGCTAAAAGAAAAAGAGGAACAGAGCTAACGGACTTCTTAGGAAAAACTACAAATAGGAACCAGTTTTGCTTGTCATGTTGTAAAATTAAAGTGTTTGTTACTGCCTGTTTCACCTCTAGTTCAACCTTTGTATTGTCCGCTCCTGATTCTTTCAAAATGAAATTTTGTTTCAGTAAATTAGGGGGAAAAAAAGGGCAGTGATATTTAATAGGTGTGCCCTTCGCTGTACACTATGATTTTCTTTTCTCTTTTATGATGGTTAACCATGCCACTGTAGTGTTCCAATGTGTTACATTTTATTGTTGTACTTATTGGCTTGGTTCACATCTGTGCGGTTTCCCTGTAGCTGTGTTTGCTCGTAAACAGCAGGCTATTCATTTGAATGGGCTGCTGTATCCACCGAAAACTCAGTAAAAAGGTCCCTGTACCTTTTCAGAGTGCGGTTCCCAGTGTGGGGAAACCACACTGCAGTTAGTCCCAATGGCACCCTCATACATCTCTTGAGCAGCAGCGTGTTTTTCTGTGTGGGAACAGGTGCAGGCCTACTGCGGCAACCACTCACACAAGTGTGAACCTAGCCTTATGCATAAAGTATGATTTTTATAATGCAGAATATATTAGAACATGTCATAGCAGCAGTGAGTAAGCAGTCTTGAAAACTTCATATTTGTATTGCTTTTATTTAAAAACTCATAAATAAAACATAGCCAGGACATTTGTGCCTTTAGGGATAAACTCAGTGCATGGATAGGTGTGGAGCCAGGGTGGAATATCTTGGTGAAGCAGAGCTGATAATCTGCATGCATTCCAACTGGCCATTGGTGCACAAAGCAGAGGAAAGAATAGAAGCCTTTTTTTGTCCTCTTGTAAAAACGTGTTTAAAATAAATAAATTATATATAGTATATATATACATTTATATTTTTTTTTGTGTGTATAATATATACATACTGTGTGTGTTTCAAGCTTACCCCTAGCGCAGGTGGTCAGACACTATGGGGTTTATTTACTAAAGCTGGAGAGTCCAAAATCAGACTCCCTTCTGCATAGAAACCAATCAGCTTCTAACCTCAGCTTGTTCAATGAAGCTTTGGCAATGAAACCTGGAAGCTGATTGGTTTCTATGCAGAAGGGAGTCTGATTTTGGACTCTCCAGCTTTAGTAAATAAACCCCTATGGCACTATAGCTGGCTTCTGTGTTCTTCACCTATAGCAGCCCCCTTTCCCATAAGGCAAGCAGGCCTACCGGTACTCGGTTGGCCCCAGGTCCTATACACAATGCTGTAGTGCCTGGTTACCACACTGGGAAGGCACGAATGGAGTATAAAAAAAACAAATACTTGCAGTTGGCAGACAGGCAGAGTGGTTCAGTGACAGTTCAGGTAAAAGGCAGGCAATGATCAGAATAGTCAGGGTCAAATCCTCATACAAAAGACAGGCAGAGCTCAGAGAGTAGTTGATATCTGATCCAAAGTTGGTAACGAGGAAATCCACACTGGCAGATAAATAGGGAGCTTGGAGCACGTGTTACAAATGCAATATCACAAGTATGGTCTTGGCTGGCTTAATAACTTCACCTTTTAACAAAAAATAATAAATGCATACTTTTTCCAGGTAAAAAATGTGCATTTGCTATTTTTTTTTTTGGGAGCCAGGAAAGCATTGCACCAGCGATAAGCAGATCGCTGAATCCATACAGGACTTCTACAGACCTGTCAGTGTATCTATGTGCTCGTACCTCGTACAGGCAAACAGATACACTCTGACATGAAGAATCAATTAACTACCACAGCGCTCAAAAGTGCTGTGGTAGTTCATTGAGATCTAAAAGCTGCAACGGCTTGTTGTAAAATCTTAGATGAGAACCTTCCTTTCTGAGCCAGAACACTGAAGATGGGTCATGGATGGGTCTTCCAGCATGACAATGACCCAAAACATACCACCAAGGCAACAAAGGAGTGGCTCAAGAAGAAGCACATTGAGCTCATGGAGTGGCCTAGCCAGTCTCCAGACCTTAACCTCCCTGGAGGTATTCCTGAGTGTAGCTCGGGGTAAAGTTTCAGCACCACAAGCGGTAACCCTGAGCTACACTCAGGAATACCTTGCAGCGTTGCTCCGGGATCTCTTCTGCACTTACCTTGTCCTGCGCTCCCGCGATGTCCCCCCTGCAGCGTCCACGGCAATGTCCTCCTGCGGATGCCGGCATCTGTCTTCCGGGTTCCGTTCCCTGCGACATCGGGACGTACAGGGGATGGAACTGGCGGGAAATTTGAAAGTTGTAAAAGTGACATTCACTAAAATCACATAGTATTACATTACTATGTGTATCAAAGCATTTCACATACATTTTTTGTCCCTAGTGCTTTGTTCTGTGCCCTGCCTGCATTTTTACTGTTCTTTCTGCCTGGAAACTGAGAAATGTCCATAGCATCCAAAAAGCGTCCCTTTAAGTCAAAAGCGGTTTTAGACCAGCTAGAGAACAGCGATAGTAAATCAGAACCGCTTGCAGAATTGAGTGATAATGATTCGTGGGGGAATTCGTCATCAGACACTGAAAACGGTTTTGCTCAGCGATGTGCGAACTTGGCGCTATATTTAAAATTTCAGTGTTTTTGGTTTGATTATATTATTTAATTAAATTATTATTATTATTATTATTATATATTATTTTTTATGATTATTTATTAAATTATAATTTATGATTTTGTGTTTCAAATTTTATCATACCCGGGATGTTTACTAGACTCTTGTTCGGACAGATTTCAGTGAGTTATTCCTAAAAATTACAGGCCTACAATAAAAAAAAACATATTTCCATGCAAAAAAATGTACTGCTTTGAGCACAGAAATATGGACATAATCAGACTGCTAGGGAGTTTAATCCTATAGAAAATTATGGAGGGAGCGACAGCCAAGAAAACCTTAGAGGATTTAAAGAAGAGTGGACTAAAATCCCTCCTGAGATGTGTGCAAACCTTGTAACCAACTACAAGAAACGTCTTACCTCTGTGCTTGCCAACAAGGGTTTCTCCACCAAGTACCAAGTCATGTTTTGCTAGGGGATCAAATACTTATTTTACTCACTGAACTGCAACTCAAATTATAACATTTGTATCGTGTGTTTTTTTTTTTCTGGAATTTTGGTTGATATCCTGTCTCTATCATTTAAAAAAAACACCTATGATAAAAAATGATAGACCCTTAATTTTTTGTAAGTGGCCAAACTAACAAAATATACAGGGATCAAATAATTATTTTCCCCACTATATATAACACACACATCACACACACACACACACACACACACAATTTTTTTTTTTCTACCAAAATCAGGATCATTTAAAAGTATGTAAAATCGGTTTTGTTCTGTAAGGTACTTTCAATTCAGCAGATTTAGTAGCATATTTATAAAGTAGTGGTTGAATATAATTTACTGATCACTATTCAAACCCCCCCAATCTGAACTGTCTTCCCATTAAATACATGTGCTCTTCACATTCTCCCGCATGTTTGCAGAATCCAGTCATATTTGATGCCATTTGCTCACAATCCATATTCCCCATGATGAATAGGAAAACCAGGTCCCAGGACAATTTTCCATGTTCAATCTAGCAGTCCCCAACCAGATCGCTTTAAAATATTTTTGCGATCGAACAATTTTTTTTTTCTTTTTGGTGAATTAGCATTGCCATGATTCACTCCTCAATGCACTTTTGACATGCTGCATATATGGATTTAGCCTAAAAAACTGGTTGACAAAAGCTTTCTTCTCTGCCTTGCTAATTCTTAACTCTCTCCCCGAGGGTAGCAGATCAAAATGCTAGCAGGTGCTGCTGAATTCAGGTGAATCTAGGCACCCCAATATGTCTAGATTTCCCTTCTTTTTTTGTTAGTAAATAGTGTAAAGGAGAATACATGCCCTTTATAAGGCAACACCATCCAAAATGTGTACTTTTGTTTTTCTTGGGTGTTGGCAAGTCAAAGCTCAACTAGATTCTGAGGGGATTCATAAGGGGGAAATATATCTGCCAGTGCAAAAGCCAAGAGATAATGTCCAATTCATCTGATGGATTCTGTCTGATGCGCAAAAAATCGGGTAGTCCAACTGCTGGGGAGTCGCATATTTTTCATATCCTTATGGCTGAGGAAGTCAGAAGATTCCCTCTGCTGGAGTCTATAAGAAAGAAGTCTGATATTTGAGTTTTGAATGGTATAGGCCTTTAGAACAGAAAAAAAAAAACTATTTTTGTTGTTGCTAATATAGGTAAATGAATTGCAAGTTTTTGTTCTTTTTCAGACAGCATTTTCAGACTTTGCCATGCATGCACTGTCTTATTTCTAATAGTATGCATTGTTTGCCCTCTACAGGAGAAAGAGAAGAAGTACATGCTGCCCGTGGATAATCTAAAACTGAGAGATATTGAAAAGGGATTTATGTCCAGCAAACACATTTTTGCCCTATTCAATACTGAACAAAGGCGAGTGTTTTTGTCTAGATGTAATAAAGTGTGTGGGGGTATCTGTTAATATAAATTAAGAGCATCAGTTTCTAACAAATGTCATAACCTTACCTCATACCTTTTAGTAGTCAGATGTACCCAACATTCCCATTAGATAAGATTTACATCCCCTGCCCTCCATCCCATAATGTGCCCAGGGGCTTGAGTGACCTATCACCAGATGAGAACATTGCCATATGCATGGCCATTTCACACTGGTGGCGTTGCTTATAACTGGAAAGAACAAAAGGGACCTCTGACCCCACAGATTGTTTGTTCAAAGTTTGGTTGGCCAGGAGTCATGCATGGAGCCCATACACATGGAACCGTCGGCCAAAAAACTGCCAGATTGGGTACCTATCCAGTTTTATGGAGGCAGAAGCAGATGCTGCAGGCCAAGCATTGTTTGGACGATTTTGAGAACCTTGCCTGATCACTATGCCCCTGGATATATACTGGGGTTTTCTGGGGGTTTCTACTCTTTTCCTCCATACACATGCAAGAAATGCAGAATCTCTCTACTACTCAGCTACTAATATTTATGGCCAGCTTTAGACTTTGTGTTGCCCCTTTGGAGCCAAGCTTATGCCCTGTTCTGGGTCCTAGTCCCTGTAAGCTTTGTAGAGTTTTTGGTTGGGATAAAGATTCTAGTTCTAGGTCTACATTTCTCCTGTTAGCCAGACCTCACTATTAAATCAGCTATGCACAAGCCTTTATATAGATGTGAGCTGCCTGATGCTTAGGAGTCCCTGCTGCTGGATGAACAGGCTGAGTGCTGAAAGAACACTAAAAGGTGCATGTGCTGCCTTGTTGGCTTTGGTGAATATTAGTCCAGAACCACCCTGAGTTTAGTTTAGTGGCTCTCACAAGCAGATGTTTTATTTTTCATAGTATACACCTGCTGTACAAAGCCTATAAACTGTGTAAACAATTATTGCTTTGTTGAATAAAAGTGCAGGACAAACCTTTGTTTACTGTTCCTGGGTGTCCCTGTCTCATGCATGGTTTACCACTGCCAAAGCCAATTGAGCCTGCCTCCCTTAGACTAGCCAAATTTTTGTTTATATTTGTCTTAGACAAAGTAGGGAAGGCTTAAGACCTTTGTCAGGTTTTTTTTATTGTTGTTTGTGCTTCTGTTTTGGTACGTTACTGGTAGGTTTCCCTCTTTAACACTTGTTCTGGTGACAACTGTGCTAGAAGGAACTTCCCCATACTTTGAAAAAAAAAAAATCTTCTTACTTCCTGATGCCTTTCCAAGTTAAAAGTAAATTCCCCCCTGTAGGCGAGAGGTAGCAAGAAGCCACTCTATCAAATACTTCAATAGATGAGAACCAATATTACTATTTTCACAGAATGATCTTGGGTTCTATTCTGTTTCCAGGAATGTTTACAAGGATTACCGTCAGCTGGAGTTGGCCTGTGAGACTCAGGAAGAAGTGGACAGTTGGAAGGCATCTTTCTTACGCGCTGGTGTCTATCCAGAGCGAGCTGGGGTATGTACCAAGCCTGAATACCAAGACCACCTGATTGGTGACATCTTTTATTCTATGCTATGTATAATAGAAACCTCCTGCGCTCAAAAAGTGAATGTAACTCGTTAAGGATAAAGCTGCTAACACCTGCACCTTATTACCTGAAAGTGAAAATGCTAAATATATATAGAGAAATGGTGTAGCGCTCTTATTACTAAATATATAAAAGTAATAAAATAATAATAAATGGTGATCACATCCCCTATGGGGTATCCAAGTGAAAAACAAATAACACATTGAATATGCCTTTGCACCACATGTTATGGGTCTCATAGCATGAGGTCAAAAGGCTTTTTTACTGCTGAACAAATGTGAGTGTATTGGTTTATATTACCATTTATCTTTAATAAACAATATCCCACTATGGAGGTTCTCTCTTTATATGGATCCTGTGGAAGCTGGTTATATTAATTATAGCCAAAGGGGAATTTGGAGCTGATCCTGACCTGGAAGGCTTACACGTATTTGTCTGATGTGAGGTTTGGTCTGCATTGGAGGATACCATTAAGAGGAATCCATTCTTGGAGGGTCCAGGAGTGATCCAAAAGCTAGTAGGCCCTTTTAGGGTCACAGTAAGGAGGTGAGGAGCCAATTTAGCTATATTTGAATATATGAATGCTGCTGCCAGACTTATCCACCTTACTAACCGTTCTGTATCTGCCACCCCTCTCTGCCAATCCCTCCACTGGCTTCCCGTTGCCCAACGGATAAAATTCAAAACATTAACAATAACGTATAAAATAGATAATATAAAATTAATGTGCAGCGCTAAAATTGAAACAGGTATACACAACAGACTAGCGTATAATAACTAGCGTAAAATAAAATTCAAGATTCACAGTTCATACAGTTGTGTTCAAAATAATAGCAGTCAGACATCCCTAACCTGATCAATCACTGCTTTTGGTAGAAATTATATTTCTACATGGCAAATAATTTACTAGCAGGTGTAGTAGAGTAATAGAAATTCAACAGACCCAACAGTCATGACATGCATGCTGATGATTCTGTGTAATTGAATCACTAATTGAAAGGGGCATGTTCAAAATAATAGCAGTGTGGAGTTCTATTAGTGAGGTCATTCATTCTTTGAAAAACAGGTGGCAATTATTGCCCTTATTTAAGGAAGGAAGGCAGCAAATGTTGTACATGCAGACATTGTTCAGAAGAACAGCGTACCTTGATTAAAAAGTTGATTGGAGAGGGGGAAAACTTATAAAGAAGTGCAGAAAATGATAGACTGCTCAGATAAAATGATCGCAAATGCTTTAAAATGGCAACCAAAACCTGAAAGACGTGGAGGAAAGCAAAAAACTACCATTCAAATGGATAGAAGAATAGCCAAAATGGCAAGGACTCAGCCAACAATCAGCTCCAGGAAGATCAAAGAAGGTGTAAAGTTACCTGTGAGTACTGTTACAATTAAAAGACGCCTATGTGAAGCCAAGCTATCTGCAAGAAGCCCCCGCAAAGTCCCACTGTTGAAAAAAAAAAGACATGTGCTGAAGAGGGTACAATTTGCCAAAGAGCACATTGACTGGCCTAAAGAGAAATGGTGCAACATTTTGTGGACTGATGAAAGTAAGATTGTTCTTTTTTGGGTCTAGTGGCCCGGAGACAGTTTGTCAGACAACCCCCAAACACTGAATTCAAGCCACAGTACACTGTGAAGACAGTGAAGCATGGTTGCGCAAGCATCATGATATGGGGATGTTTCTCATACTACGGTGTTGGGCCTATTTATTGCATACCAGGGATCATGGATCAGTTTGAATACATCAGAATACTTGAAGAGGTCATGCTGCCTTATGCTGAAGAGGAAATGCCCTTGAAATGGGTGTTCCAACAAGACAACGACCCCAAACAAACCAGTAAACGTGCAACATCTTGGTTCCAGACCAACAAGATTGACGTTATGGAGTGGCCAGCCCAATCCCCGGATCTTAATCCAATAGCAAACTTGTGGGGTGACATCAAAAATGCAGTTTCTGAGGCAAAACCAAGAAATAGAGAAGAACTGTGGAATGTAGTCCAATCATCCTGGGCTGGAATACCTGTTCACAGGTGCCAGAAGTTGGATGACTCCATGCAACACAGATGTACAGCAGTTCTCAGAAACAGTGCTTATACAACTAAATATTCATTAAGTGATTCAAAGGAAAGCAAAATCTTCAAACATTTTTCAGTTTATATAGTGAATGTTTGAGTTTGTAAAGAATACAAACACTGCTATTTTTTTGAACAGTCTAATATTCACTTTTCTTCTATTTTTTTAGAGAAACAACACACATTTGATATATTTTTCTTCATGTTTTGATTTGGAATAGAATGTGTAGTGTTCCCAATGAATTTGTGTGTATGGAAATAAAAGCTATTAGAAGGGTTTTGAGCTTTATTCACTTTTTTCAACACACTGCTATTATTTTGAACACAACTGTATATATATCATATATAAGTTCATCAGGTGACTTTGGTGCTCGTTATTCCTGTGTCTTCTGGAAACGGTGGATGTGCATACAAGTGTGTAAGTAATGCGCACTCACCAGAAAGCGCAAGTTAATGTGCGTTAATAATATATCCTGATGTTGTCAAATGGTCATCATGGGGTGAAACAGGAATCCTATGCCCTTCCTCTATGGGTAGATGGGTCCTGAGATGTGGGTTGGTTAGTATCAGGATAATCCAGAGTTCCCTTTTATGGGATAGGTGGGTGCAGCCCTCTGGGTCTAGTGGAGGCTCCCTCTCTGGAGGTTAGGATAGCTTTTCTCCTCAGCAGTATATAGCAGTCTTGTGACTTCTATCAGCATTTGGCTGAGCACTAGTTAAAAGCTTGTAGGAGGAGTTTTTATGCTCCTCTGACTGCTCTATGAGGCTGCATGACCTCTGACCGTCTGTCTGGACAGTGCTGTCCCTGTGCTGATCACATGCACTCTCCAAATGTACAGTAAGATACGCGCCAAAGCTGCATTCCACTACGCTGTGATTCTCTTCCTACTTTTGGTTTTGGCCACAACCGGAAGTGACATCACCTGGCTCTGTCCTCCGACCTGTTGCGTCAACCCATGTGACTTCCTCAGGGATAGCTATTCATAGCCATTTATAACTCTGCCCCAAATTACGTCAACGATCTTGTCTCTAAATATCATCCAAACCGTACTCTCCGCTCCCCGCAAGACCTCCTGCTCTCTAGCTCCCTTGTCTCCTCCTCCCATGCTCATCTCCAGGACTTTTCCAGAGCTTCCCCTCCATCCTCTGGAACTCTCTACCCCAATTTATCAGACTATCGCCTACTCTGCTCACTTTTAGGCGATCTCTGAAAACCTATCTCTTCAGTGAAGCCTATCCTGCCCTCAGCTAATAATGGAATCTTCTACTTTTCCAACCAGTCCATCCCCCACAGTTACTATCTTTTGTACCACTAGCCCCTCCCTCCTAGATTGTAAGCTCCAAGGAGCAGGGCCCTCTTTCCCTCTTGTATTGAACTGTATTGTTGCTGTATTGTCTCCCGTTATATTGTAAAGCGCTGAGCAAACTGTTGGCGCTATATCAATCCTGTATAATAATAATAATAATTGGACTCATCACCAGAGGCTGCAATGCACAGGATCACCTGCATGTTTTAACCTTTGTGGAACACTGGTGTCACATTATTTATGTTGGACTTTTGTTTAGTACAACTCATATTGCAATATTTTATATAGGGGATTTATATGTTCATTTATTATTTGTTTTGAGGCTTTGGATGTGAGTTTATTAGTAGTATTGTATTCGCATACGTTCTTTGGAGTGTCTTTAGCACTGAGCACTTTTTTCACCATAATTGAAATACCTATCCCCCAGTGCTGGAATCACATGTGTGGGTCACTATTTATTTTTTTTTTTGATTGTCAAGTTTTGTGTATCACTAATCTCAATTGAGATTTGGGACATTCAGCACTTTATTGTGTATAATTGGATCACAATAGGTCTATTTTGAGACCATTGGTTTACATTACATATTCACTGTGTTATTTATTTGTTTTTCACTTGGATACCCCATAGGGGATGTGATCACCATTTTTTTATATTATTGTTATTTTATTACTCTTTTATATATTTGGTAATAAAAGCGCTACACCATTTCTCTATATATTTTTATTCTATGCTGCTTTTTTTTTGATGACCATAAGTACTTACCTTTCCTGCCTAGCTGAAATCGATGCTGTAAAAAACATCTCCTTAATTCTGCTGGAAAACCCATACTTGTAATAGTACCACTTTCCAGGTCCCCTGTAGGTCACAGTGGTTCCACCTGCTGCTCTCCTCTAGATAAAGGATACAATAATGATATGGAGGTCTGCAGGAGGAACCACTCAGAGTTGCAAGGATCTTGGAGATTTACACATTTGGAAAAGCCAGTTTGGAGATTGTTTTGCAACATGCACAGACAGACGGTGAGGGAAGTATTTACTGTCTTTTTTTACAGGAAAAGATTTGTTGGGTATGTTTGTATAGTGACAGGGTCACTTTAATTAATTTCCATCACTGAGGTCTGCAGGCACACAGTCTATGGAGCTAATAGCATCCCTTTTTTCAAAGAAGATATTCTTATTTTACTGGGCCTAACCATGTCACATTGTGACATTGTGTTTGTTTACCTCTGCTGCCTATAGACAGAAGCCTACATACTGTACCTAACAGTAAATCCAGCTCTGTAATGAAATTATAGTACTGAATATTAGACAGTCCAAGAAGACATGCCACAATATGTTATCTGTCTGTGTCCCGGAATTGTTTGTTACTGGGGACTGGTCATTTGTTTATGCTCTTTATGCATTCATCTCAACGTTTGCTTTTTTGATGACCTCTTGGAGTTATAAGAACCTTATTCTTAGGAGCTATCTAAATAACAATTACTTATATTTTTGGTAATAATTCAAAACCTACACAAATCATTAATATGCTCACCACCAAAATGTACA